TCTCAAAGCATGCAGTCTTATTGCGTGAGGTAACCCAGGAGTAAACACTGTAAACAGTGATCTATATTAAACGGTGGTTTATCTTAGACTATCTACAACAGGGGTAGGCAACCTTGGCCCCTTCATGACTCGTGGACTTCAACTCCCAGAATTCCTGAGCCAGCATGGGGGAACTATGGCCCCCTCGTGACACGTGGACTTCAACTCCCAGAATTCCTCTGCCAGCATGGGGGAATTATGGGCCCCTTCATGACTTGTGGACTTCAACTTCCAGAATTCCTGAGCCAGCATGGGGGAACTATGGCTCCCTTCATGACTTGTGGACTTCAACTCCCAGAATTCCTGAGCTGGCACGGTTCAGCTTGGAAACCTCTCCCTTTCCCCTCAGCATGGCTGGCTCAGGAATTCTGGGAGTTGAAGTCCACGAGTCATAAAAGAGCCAAGATTGCCTACCCCTGATCTACAATATCGTACACCAGGAACAATACACCTATATGTATTAATACAGCAGGCTTCAACACACAGCAGTTACAGCAGGAAAACGAAAAAAGAGAACACAGAAGCACAGCCTTCCCTTTTATGCAAAGGCTCTTAAAGAGACACAGACCCTGCTGAGTTATTCTCTTCATTACATCTTACATTACATAAGCTGGTTAGCTATTAAATCATTACCTTGACAATCCTCCCAGCTGGCTTCCGATAAGCAAAGCCAGGCGTGTCAAACTCAATTTCACTGAGGCCGCATCAGCATTGTGGTTGCCCTGGGGGGGGGGCAGGTAGGTGTGACTAAAGTGGGTGCAGCCTAATGGGTAGGCGTGGATGGAGCGGCTGTGGCCTACTAGGTGGCCGTAGCCAGTTCTACATCATTCGTGTCAAGGGTGCCTGTGGGGGCCTGGGCAGGAGTGGGACAGATCTGAGGGTCTCTGGCAGAAGGGGATGGGACTGGGGCAAGTGCCAAGTCATGGTCGACCGGGGCAAGTGCCAAGATGGCCACCACAAAATTGTACATTGGCTCCCGGTCGGCCTGGGACAGGGCCAAGGCAGTGGGGGCCATTCCCTCACTGTTTCCAGGATGGCTTCGTGGGCCACATCCAGCTCCCGGGCCTTGTGTTTGACATGTCTGAGCAAAGCCAATGGGGGAAGCCAGATTCGCTTAACCATCTCATCATTCATCTAACTAAAGTGATTTGCTTAAGAACTGTGACAAAAGTGGCCACAAAACAGGGTGCAACTATCTTGCTGAGCAATGGAAATTTTGGACTCAATTGTGCTTGTAAGTCAAGGTTTACTTTTATCACTTGGCAATGATCAGCTGTCCCAAAATATCTGTCTAGATCAGGGGTCTTCAAACCTGGCCCCTTCATGACTTGTGGACTTCAACTCCCAGAATTCCTGAGTCAGCATGGGGGAACTATGGTCCCCTGTATTACTCGTGGACTTCAACTCCCAGAATTCCTCAGCCAGCATTATTTAAGATAGGTGGACTTCAATTCCTCAGCCAACATGGGGGAACTATGGCCCCTTCATGACTTGGGAACTTCAATTCCCAGAATTCCTCAGCCAACATGGGGGAACTATGGCCCCTTCATGACTTGGGAACTTCAATTCCCAGAATTCCTCAGCCAACATGGGGGAACTATGGCCCCTTCATGACTTGAGAACTTCAATTCCCAGAATTCCTCAGCCAACATGGGGGAACTATGGCCCCTTCATGACATGTAGACTTCAACTCCCAGAATTCTGGGAGTTGAAGTCCACAAGTCACAAAAGGGCCATGTTGGAAGACCCCCAGTCTATATCTATAAATGTATAACTTTGGCAAATACATTTATGGTAAAATGTTTCCATAAATAAACAGTACTTATTGGTACTGCCCTTGCTTGCTTTTGCCAGAGTCTTTCTATTTCTATTTGTAGGTCTTTGTATTTTGTTATCTTCTCCAGTTCTTTCTCGTCTATTCTATTATTATTATTGTTGTTGTTGTTGTTAATAAGTATTATTAATTATTATCATAATCATAATCATTATTATTGCTACTACTACCAGTTTTAAAAAAAATACTACAGTGTCAGATTTTCCAACTACAACATCTAAGATTGAGGCCAAGTCGATATAAACAGTGTACAGAGATCAAAGCTAATGTTTCTACTTCATTCTAGGCAGCCATCCTTGGAAATTTTGCTCACAAGCCTGCCAAAAAAATTAAGTGTATCTTGGGATCCAATGCTCAGTATCTTTGGAATGCATGAACTCCAGGCTGCTTCCAGGAGCATCTTTGGAAACCAAGGCAAGCGACAAGCTTTGGGATCAGCTGTGCATTCAGCTACACGAGGTTAGAAGGAAGAAAGGATGGAGGCAGAGAACGGGGTGAGGCTGGGAGGGACACAACTGTCACCTCACTAGCTGATCCCCACTCTGGGGGGGTGATCCATTATGCCTTTCCGGCTGTAGCAAAGCTTTTTCCCCCCATCAATGCATCATCCCCAGAAAGATGCAGCAAGAAGCAGTCCGGATGATGCTCCGTTCGGTGCCTTCCACAAAAGCCTTCCGTCTTTCCCATGACGAAGGAGGAAAAACATCAGAGGTGGCTACATGACGAAGGGAAAAGCTGGCGAAGGGAGATGTGCGGGGCGCTTGCAAGAATTATACCCGGAGAATGGACCGTACCCACAAACACCCCAACTGGCCCAGATTTGTTTCCTTTAGAAGCCTCAAAGCAGCAACCCTTTGGCAAATCGTTCCGCTCGCCTGTCAAAATGCACATGCAAGGGACCGCATGACGTGTGGCCACAAGGGAGCGTCACTGGCTTCCAGACGCTCTGATTTTACTTTCCCACTTCCGACAGCCCTCGTCAAATCTCCCTAGCCTGGGTGGGAAGAAGAAGAACACAGCAAGCATCGTTCTGCCTGGTGGGTATTAAACAGGGAAAGGTCGCGCACATCCCCTGCCACCCAAGACCCAGCTGCGTGTGGAATTTGCCAGTTCCCATTTTATATCCCTGTATAAACACAGTGGGGAAGACAGGAACGCCGGATAGGCTACCCATTGCCTTGTAAACAACTGCAGCCGGGAGAAGCGTCTATTGCATGTTTTGCACACTCACAGGAAAAATAACACCGTACTTGGATCCGTTAAAACACTAGGACAATTGAATCCAGGTATTATAAAAAAAAAATTCTGCATTTAACAATCAATAAATCTAGGCAGGCATATATAGCCAGCAAGCTTGCTGTAGGCCATTTTTCTTTTCATAACGTGCTCCTGTAGACGTTGCAAATTTAGCAGAATGCCACCTCCAGACCTTGCAAGCCGCTCAGAGCAATTGCAACCTTGCCCTCCCCCCTCCATGTGCAGAACGGGACAGGGAAATCGGGTGCAAACCCGCCCAGGGCCCGCAGGGAAAGCTAAAGGGATTAGAAGAGTCTAGGAACCAGTAATCCAATGGGATCAAGAGGAGAGTGGAGGGGCGGCTGGCCTCAAGACATTGTCTGGGAGAGAGGAGGCTTTTTTAAAAAAAAGCAAGAACAAGATTGCAAAGGGAGATTGCCCTGCAGAGAGCCTTGATGAACGCAGATTCCATAGATAGATAGATAGATAGATAGATAGATAGATAGATAGATAGATAGATAGATAGATAGATAGATAGATAGATAGATAAGATAGGTAGATAAGATAGGTAGATATAGATAGATTAGAAAGATAGATTAGATAGGTAGGTAGGTAGAGATAGAGATGATATAGACATATATAGAGATGACAGAGAATATAGACATATAAATAGATAAGATAGATAGATAGATAGATAGATAGATAGATAGATAGATAGATAGATAGATAGATAAGATAGGTAGATATAGATAGATTAGATAGACTAGATAGGTAGGTAGAGATAGAGATGATATAGACATATATAGATATAGAGATGATAGAGAATATAGACATATGGGTAAATAGATAGATAGATAGATAGAAAGATAGATAGATAGATAGACAGACAGACAGACAGATATAATCTATAATGCAATTTCACCCTAAGCCCTCAAACCAATCCTCCACTTTCTTAAGAATTTGCAGAATTACAAAATAACAGTAATAATCACAGTAAAAAAGGAAAGAGGCCCCCATCTATTGCAGGGGGGGAGGGGGAGAACACCAAAAAAAAAAAAAAAAAAGGAAGGACCAGGCTGAGCAGCACCCCCCTTTTCCTCTCCTCCACCGCCCCCCCCTCGCCCCACCGGAGGACCTTTGTGCGTCGGAATGATGCCTTTTCTCCCAGGCTGACAGCCCGCCATCGCCCACCCCCCCCCCGCCCGGCCCAGGATGGCTGGCTGGCTGGCTGGCTGATCCCCCCCCCCCCGCCCCCGATTTCGCGACCCGCAGTCGGGGGGGGGCGAGGGGGCGAGAAAGCGAGGGGGGGCCGGCGGAGGGGTCTGGAGACAAACAAGGGGCAACCAGCCTGCCCAGAACCGCCCTGGGGGGGGGGCAGAGGGAGGGGAGGGGGGAGAGGAAGAAGAAGACCCCCAACTGGAGCTTTAAAAAAAAAAAAAGGAAAGCCAAAGGAACCCCGCTTGGAGGAGGAGGAGGAAGGCTGGCGGGGGGGTCTCCCTCCCTCCCCCCCTCCCTCCCGGCATTGGGGGGGTCTCCCTCCCTCCCTCCCTCCCTCCCGGCACCTGGCCGCAGCAGCCAAGCCCGCCCGGGGCAACTTCGTCTCGCCGCGGCCGCAAAACAAAGGGAAGCGCCGCCCGCCCCGCCCGCAGCCTGGCAGCCACGGCAGGCGGGGGGGGGGGTCGTCCCTTCCGGGAGGGAGGGGGGAGAAGAAGGGAGGGACGCCCCTCGGACCCTCCCCCCCTCCCCCCCGCCAAAGAGGCGCAGCCCCCCCAGCCACCTCCGCGGGCGGCCCGGGGGGGGGTGACCCCGCTGGCTCTTCCCGCCCAAGACCCCCGCCCTGCGCCCCCCCCACCCGCCTTGCTTCAGCGTCCCCCCCCCCCAGCAGGCTTACCTGGGCCGGGGGTCCCGCGAGGAAGGCGAGGGCGGGCGGGGGTCCCGGGGAAAAGAAAGGGAGAAAGAAGGGAAAAGGACGGAAGAGCGAGCGGGCTCCGCGCGGGGGTGGCGCCTCCCCAGCGGCGGGAGCCCCGTTCCGACGTGCCCCGCGCCCCTCCGACCCGGGCGAGGAGAATGCGGGAATGTGACGTTCCCGGCTCCGCCCGGCCGGCCACGTGCGGGGAGCGGAGCGAAAGGGGCGGCCGCGCTGCGGCTCCCGGGAAATGTAGTTCCGTCCGGGAGAAGAAAGCCGCGGAGAGGGGGGGGACTGGCGATCCGGGGCTGAGGCGGAGCCCTTCGGGGCTTCGAGGAAACAAAAGGAGAAGGGAGGGAGGGAGGGAGGAAGGGGAGGATAGAGGGAAGGAAGGAAGGATGGGGAAAAAAGGGTAGCAAGGAGGGAAGGGAGAAAAGGGTAGCAGGGAGCGAGGGAAGGAAAGAAAAAAGAAGGAAGGAAAAAAGGGTGGCAGAGAGGAAAGAAAGGAAGGGAGGAAAAAAGTGGGAGGGAAGGAAGGAAAAAGGGTGGCACGGAGGGAAGGGAAGAAAGGAAGGATTGGAAGGAAGGAAGGAAGGAAGGAAGGAAGGAAGGAAGGAAGGAAGGAAAAAGGGTGGCAAGGAAGGAAGGAAGCAAGGAAGGAAAAAAGGGTGGAAAGGAAGGAAGGAAGGAAGAAAAAAAGGGTGGCAAGGAGGGAAGGAAAAGGAAGGAAAAAGGTGGCAGGGAGGGAAGGAAAAGCAAGGAAGGAAAAAGGGTGGCACGGAGGGAAGGGAAGAAAGGAAGGATTGGAGGGAGGGAAGGAAGGAAGGAAGGAAGGAAGGAAGGAAGGAAGGAAGGAAGAAAGGAAGGAAGGAAGGAAGGAAGGAAGGAAGGAAAAAGGGTGGCAAGGAAGGAAGGAAGCAAGGAAGGAAAAAAGGGTGGCAAGGAAGGAAGGAAAAGGAAGGAAGGAAAAAGGGTGGCACGGAGGGAAGGGAAGAAAGGAAGGATTGGAGGGAAGGAAGGAAGGAAGGAAGGAAGGAAAAAGGATGGCAAGGAAGCAAGGAAGCAAGGAAGGAAAAAAGGGTGGCAAGGAAGGAAAAGGTGGCAGGGAGGGAAGGAAAAGGAAGGAAAAAAGGGTGGCAGGGAGGGAAGGAAAAAGAAGGAAGGAAAAAGGTGGCAGCGAAGGAAGGAAGGAAGGAAGGAAGGAAGGAAGGAAGGAAGGAAGGAAGGAAGGAAGGAAGGAAAAAGGTGGCAGGGAGGGAAGGAAAAAGAAGGAATGAAGGAAAAAGGTGGCAGCGAAGGAAGGAAGGAAGGAAAAAGGTGGCAGGGAGGGAAGGAAAAGGAAGGAAGGAAGGAAGGAAGGAAGGAAGGAAGGAAGGAAGGAAGGAAGGAAGGAAGGAAGGAAAAAAGAAGGGTGGCAGGGAGGGAGGGAAGAAGGAAGGAAGGAGCATAGTTTTACATTCTTTCCGAGTCTTGATTTTAAGAGGAAACTGGAAACAGGACACTGGTCCGTTTCACCTGATTAAAAAAAAAAAGCGTGCCTCACCTTCCCTTTAGTAACCCTGTAAAACAAAACATAGAAGTCATCTATTCACGAAGGCTGGGTGCAACAGGAAATTGCCTGCAGTAACAGTAAATTGATAGTAATATTAAAATTTACATAGCCAGCACGGCTGGCAGCTCCCAGCTAACCTTGGGTGATTTTTAAAACTAAGCAGAGCAGCTGATCTTAATTTAGGCCAGTGTTTCTCAACCTTGACAACTTTAAGGCATGTGGACTTCAACTCCCAGAATTCCACAGCCAGCAATTGCTGGCTGTGGAATTCTGGGAGTTGAAGTCCACATGCCTTAAAATTGTCAAGGTTGAGAAACACTGGTTTAGGCTAAGGTACAGTTTGAACCCAGGTACAAGGTTAAGTTTTAATGTGTGTAAACTCCATTGAAAGCGTTGGTGATCACTTGTCAGCTTATTTCAGAAATATACCCACCTTATTTAAATGCAATAAAAAGGTGGGAACATTTAAATTCATAATACAGGGATTCTCCAATCTGAATTCTATGAGCCACAGCATTGCAACCTATGTTTCCCAGTAAATGTAGCGTTGATCAGTCTGTTCTTGGACTGTGTTCAGAGACCCTACTACCCCGTCTATTTTCCTGACACATTTAATTGTACAATATGCGTGTCTTATCTCCACCTCCCCATTCTTACTTACCTTACGCAATTCTGTTAATTGCTTCTGCTACGCTGTTGGAAAACAGCAAGCTGCACAATTCCTGGGCAGAGGAGACGGGAAAAAAAAATTCAAAGAGTTAGACTCGGGAATAAATGCTATTGGTGAACCGGCAGCGAACGTATTCTTTCATTTTGTTGGGATGGTGTATTTGTTGTTGTTTTCCCTTGTAGAATCCAGAGGAGGTGTGAAGATTTTTCTATTTTTATAAGGTCTTTATTAAAAATAAAGCTTCCTTGTACAGTGTTGCTTTCAGCGTTCATTCATCTTTATTTTGGCTTTCAGATTTTCAGGGGAAGTGTGTACATTAGATTGTAAATGCAGGCGGGCTTTGAAGTTACAGTGAAATTTTAAAAAGCCACATATGACCCATCCTTGAACTTATGATCGCTGCACATGTATGCGTGCACGCACATACACACATAAGCAGTAGTCACATGATTATATTTTGGGCTCTTGGCAACCAGTGGATGTGAGTTCCACAGTCACGCGACTGCAAAGTTCCTGGCGGAAAAATGGCTGTTTCCAGGGGTATATAAGTCTCATAAATAAATAAATAAATAAATAAAACAGCAGAAACGACTATTAGATGTACTGGATTCACTTAACATCCACATTATTCACTTTATGACCATGATTCACTTAACTGCACTGACTTGATTTATGACGGTTGTAAAAAGAGTCATAAAATCAAATCCAGTCAGTTGGTGCCTCGACTTACAACCTCAATGACTCCTTTGTGGTCCTAACTTGAGGACGACTTATAAAGGGAGGTATGAATGCAAATTTACAACCACAACTGAGCCCAAAATGCTGTCGTTAAGTGAGGCACTTGTTAAGTGGGTTTTCTCCAATTTTACGACTTTCCTTGCCACTGTCGCTAAGTGATTCACTGAGGTTGAGAAGATAGTAACCTGGTTGTTAAGTGAATCCGTCTTCCCCCATTGACTTTGCTTATCAGAAGACAGCAAAAGGGGATCACGTGACCCTGGGACACAGCAACGGTCATAAGTATGAACCAGTTGCCAAGCATCTGAATTTTCATCACATGAAAAGGGGGATGGTGCAAAGGTCATAACTCTGAAAAACAGTCATAAGTCACATTTTTGAGTGCCATTGTAACTTTGAACGGTCACTAAGCAAACTATATATAAAGGACTACCTTTATAAATATTTTTATGGCTGAGCTTACAGTTTGGTGGGATATGAGCCAAGGTGGCGCAGCAGTACTGCAGGCCACTTTAGCTGACTGTGTTCAGCAGGTCAGCGGTTCAAATCTCACCGGCTCAAGGTTGACTCAGCCTTCCATCCTTCCGAGGTAGGTAAAATGAGGACCCAGATTGTTGGGGGCAATGTAAATGTGTGTATATATATATATATATATATATATATATATATATATATATATATATATTGCTTACTGGTGTACACAGCTTAGAGAGTGCTTGCACTTAAAGCGATATATAAATCTCATAAATAAATAAATAGACTAGACTATAATAGTAATAATAATAATAATAAAAAAGTTGGAAGGGACCTTGGAGGTCCAACCCCCTGCTCAGGCAAGAAACCCTATACCATTTCAGACAAATGGCTGTCCAGTCTCTTCTTAAAGACTTCAAGTGTTGGAGTATTCACCGCTTCTGGAGGCAGGTGGTTCCACTGGTTAATTGTTCTGTCAGGAAGTTTCTCCTTAGTTCTAGGTTGCTTCTCTCCTTGATTAGTTTCCACCTGTTGCTTCTTGTCCTGCCTTCAGGCGCTTTGGAGAATAGCTTGACTCCCTCTTCTTTGGGGCAGCCCCTGAGATACTGGAATACTGCTATCATGTCCCCGTTCATCCTTCTCTTCATTAAACTGGACATATGGAATGGAGCTGGAATAGAATAGAATAGAATAGAATAGAATAGAATAGAATAGAATAGAATAGAATAGAATAACAAATTATGAAATAGAATAGAATAGTATAGAATAACAAATTATGAAATAGAATAGAAAGAATAGAATAGAATAGGAAATAGAATAGAATAAAGGAATAGAATAGAATAGAATAGAATAGAATAGAATAGAATAGAATAGAATAGAATAGAATAGAATAGAATAGAAGCTGGAAGGGACCTTGGAGGTCTTCTAGTCCAGCCCCCTGCTCAAGCAGGAGAACCTATACCATCTCAAACCAGTGTCTGTCTAGCCCAGTGGTTCTCAACCTGTGGGTGGGGACCCCATTTGGGGTCAAACGACCATTTCACAGGGGTCGCCAAACAAGGCTGTCCGCCATTTTTTCCCCTTTTCTTTGACCACGCCCTGGCACCCGGTGATGTATAAGTGGTTGGGGGTCACCACAACATGGGGAACTGTATTATGGGGTCGCGGCATTAGAAAGGTTGAGAACCACTGGTCTAGCCTCTTCTTAAAAACCTCCAGTACCCACGATTTCTGGTGGCCAGCTGTTCCATTGGTTGATTGTTCTCCGTTAGGAAGTTTCTCCTTAATTCCAGGTTGCTTCTCTCCTTGATGCGTTTCCATCTGTTTTTTCTTCTCCTTCCCTCTGGTGCTTTGGAGAATAGTTTGACCCCCTCCTCTTCTTTGTAGCAGCTCAAAAGTAGAGTAAGAAAGCAGAGATCTGCTCGCCTCACCTGCCATGTTTTTCTTTCTCCTTCCCTGCTGACCGCAGGCATTAATATAAGCTGCGCTGTGCCCTGCCAATTTATGACTGTCAACGTCAGCCATAACTCTGAGCGTTTAATGACAAGGGAGCAGGAACAATCTGAGGCTGGGCCTGAGTCATCTCTTCCCTTGAACAGCTGACTTCATCTTCCGCAACAGCCGTGATCACAGATCACTCAGGGAGACCAAAAGCTTTGTCTGAAATGGTCTAGGCCAGGGGTAGGCAACCTCGGCTCTTTTATGACTCATGGACTTCAATTCCCAGAATTCCCGAGTCAGCTATGCTGACTCGGGAATTCTGGGAGTTGAAGTCCATGAGT